TTCACAGCCATTTTGGCCAGGGCTCCTTCGGTCTGGCTCGGTGAATCAGCTGATTGCACTGCCTCAAGCTGTACCGCCTGAGCAGCTCGTGCCAGTGAAACGGTTGCGCCGGCCGAGAGGCTGTTTGCGTCTTTCGCTCAACGTCGCCGGGCTCGACCGCCTCGAGCCGGAGGCTCAGTCGAATGCCGATCCACATTCAACTGTGCCGGCCCGACGCCAGTCTGGCCTGGGGCTTTCGTCTCCAGGGCGGACGTGATTTCGGCCAGCCTGTCGTCATTTCGGCCGTCAACCCCGACGGTCTGGCCGACCAGCATGGCCTGTGTCCTGGCGATCGCGTGTTGGCGATCGGTGGCGACGCCACCTACGCCTTCACGCATCAACAGGCCCAACAAGCCGTCATCCGTTGCGGCAACGAGCTCACCTTCGAGGTCGTGCGTGGCGACCTCGTCTCCAGCCCGACGCGTGACAGCGGCCCCGGCAACCTGACCGCCATGCCAACGCCTCCAGCCTCCTCGCAGTACTACGCGACCGGAGGCGACTTCTACCACGCCCAGTCGGTCAATCAACCGGCCCATCCGAGGACGACCATGCGATCGCAGGTCACGCTCAACATGCGTCCCGGAGCCACTGTCTCCACGGCCTCCGGCGTCGCAGATGTCGCGCAGCCACGAACTTCCGTCTTTCCGACTGGCAGTGGCCTGCGCCTCACCAGCGCGCCGCCGTACAAGCCGCAACCCTCGACCGGCTACATCTCCTCCAGCCTGAAGCACGCCATAGCCGCCAGCCAAGCGACACCGCTTCAAGCCCGACCGGGACTCGACGTCACTCCGACGCCCGCCCGACCGGCCCACATGCAAAGCGCCCATCCATTCGGGCAGCGGGCCTCGGGCTCGAAGTTCGACTCGAGCCCGAGTCCCGGTGGCCGGCCGTCACGGCCTGAAGGGTCAGGCCGAAGTCCGGTGAATCGGCTCAGTCAGTCGCAGGTGCATCGGGGCGAGGCCGGCGATGTGTTGTTGCACCACGAGTCCGTCTCAGGCTCGGCCGAGAGGCCGATCTGTTTCACCTGCAAAGCGACCATTCGTGGGCCCTATTTGACCGCTTTGAATCACTATTTCTGCCCGGACCACTTCACATGTGGCCACTGCAAGAAGCGACTGACACAATCCGCCTTCGTCAAGCAGAAGGGCGAGT